AGCAATATCACCCCCCCCCCACCCCTATCAACCCCCCCCACTCCTATCAACCCCCCTGTCTCCTGAAAGCTAGATCCGCCCCTGATAGTACTTTAGATTTTCTTAGTGGAAGCACTTGTTATGAAGGAGGATGTGACGACGGCAGCAGATGACCTTGTGACCTTGCTAGCTGGCATGACTGAGAGACTAGTGGAGGTGTTAGACAGCATACTGACTCCCAGCGATGTCATGGAGGCAGATACGACTCCAGCCCCACACACCACTGCTGACCTTCTCACACCCTTAAACAAGGTATGGGCGCACATACACACATCCACACATACACACATACACACGGTCACAGTCACGCACGATCGAGGCATCTCTCTTGAGATCTCTCACGCACATACAGGATTTACATACGGTCACACACAAGGTATTTACATATATATATTATATACACGCCCACATACAAGATATACTGACTCACACGAATGCACAAGATATGCTTCACTTGCACCCACACACAAGATAAACCTCGCAACAACACATAAGTTTGTAAGTGTTACCTCTAACCTAGTATAATACTTATATTGCACCTAAAAATTTTATTTTAAGGGTTGTAGTCGAAATATGTTGCCGCAAGAATCGGAACTGGATGTGGTCCCCGAAGGAAAGCTGCCTAATTCTACTAGTAAAGGGCACCAATCTGGCAAGTGGCCAGGATTGACTTTCCTTGTAAGAGAGGAAGTGTCAGCAGAGGTTTTCACAGAGAATTGTACGGAGAGTCATGTTGCAACTATCAGCGCCAGAGACAAGGCATACAAGGTTGGTGGTGTAATGCTAATCGTGACTCACATGTATTTCGAATTCTCATTCGTTTGCTTTGCTGGCAGCGATTGTATAACCAACACCGCATTATTTCTCACGTCTCTGCATGTTCCTTACTGCTCACTAATATTGCGTACTTGTCTTGAACCTTTTAGCTGGGAGCATAAGTCATCCACAAATGTCTTCCCTATTGAGCTTGGTGCTCTACTATTTTATCCATGTGTTTCCACTATGCTTTTTTCTTCAATTTGGCTTTTTCAGATCTCGCTCCTTAATATGTAGACGATGAAAATGATTTGGAAGGTTACGAGAACTTAAATAATCTTTGGTCTTCTCTCTGTACAGGAAGTGCAGGAATGGTTTGTTGAGCAGACGTCTCACCACATGAAGCTCGTACAGCAGCTCCACCTGGAGGAATCACAGTGGACTAAAACGTGGCAGAATTCTGTTGCCAGTCTGCAAAAGCTATTCTGATCTGAACAGAGAAATTGCGTTTACTTACTCACGTGGGATTCTTCTCTGGTATGTCCAAACAACACACTAGTACTACTTAACCACTACTTGTGCATATTTTAGTCACTGACTACAATTCGAAATGTATCAAAAACATCTATTAAACATATAACTGAGAACTTGAGATCCCTGCAAACTTAATCTTTAATTGTTGTTTTGCGGAAAATGTAGTCGAATACACATTTGGCATATAAGAAAGAAAAAAACAGTTCATGATAAAGAGTTTTAATATAATAACAAACATACCTTCTAAACACCTACAGAAAGAAAAGAATGTAACGTAATAAAAGTGTTTGCATATAATAAATATGATGATTTGATATACCCAACAAATGTAACAACTAGTTTTCTGTTTGGTTTAACAACGCTGAGAAGCACGTGTCTCTTAATTTTCAAATTAAATACTTCTACTTAGATTAATATCATCAATATGAATACAGTATACATATTCTTCGTTCAACTTATCATAATCCTCCATCATCATCCTTATCATAAAACATCTAAGCCTTCAGGGTGTGATTACTTCTTCGTTTCAAAAAGCATTAATTATTGTTAATTTCTTTAAAAGCCCACAGTTTGTAATCACTATAAAATCATTCGCTGAACAGTTCTCAATTCTCGCTAGCAAGTCTTGGATCCAATCACGTTAGCAGGTGGACCGGACATGGTCAAACAGTGACCAACCACAAAAGTCGCCCCCTGCTTCTACCATCCGAAATATCAGTTCAATTTTAAAATCAGGCCAGACACTTCTAGTGAAAATCAAATGTAGTTTTAGGGTAAGTAATTTAACGTTCTTATCGTACTTACTCTTAACCTTGACTCTGATTTTAAGAGCAGTTGCTTTACGTTTTAGAGAAAGTCAGTTCTAGTGCTAGGGAAAGTCTATTGCAAATCGAGGGGTAGTGCGAGTGAAGAATGGAAAGATGTCGGTGCCATTCTTGTTGGGGAGAGTCTGGCAGATGAATCCGGTGAAGCCATTGCGACACTCACACCTGTAGCTGCTCTGCCCGAATGGCACGCAGGTACCTCCGTTGAGGCACGGGTTACTATCGCAGGGATCCAGTCCTGCAAACACGTATATATAATGTCAATAACACGCATGCACGCACGCACGCACAGCAGATGACAGTCCACTCATGTACCTTCACTAGCTACTCTGGCTCTGTCTTGAAAAGTATAAAATACTTCTATAATTAAATTTCCTAATAGATTTATATAATTTAATTGCGAGTCATTTTGAGTCAATACAGAGTCATAATTCAGTGTAAATGGTGTATAGAAAGCCATGCGGTAACCCCAACCAAGGGTATATAGCCTGTAGTACTTACTAGACTCGCAGAACGTTCCCGTCCATAGTGTCGTGCAGAAACACTTGATGATGTCACCGATGACGAGGCAGGTGCCGCCATGCAGACAGGTCTCATTGTTACACGAGATGCCTGTCATGACTGAAACACAGAATACCAACACTACACTGTTTTATAAACCAGCACAGAATACCAACACTGTACTGCCTTATACACCAGCACAGAATACCAACACTACACTGCCGTATACACCAGCACAGAATACCCACACTACACTGCCGTATACACCAGCACAGAATACCAACACTACACTGCCTTATACACCAGTACAGAATACCAACACTACACTGCCTTATACACCAGTACAGAATACCAACACTACACTGCCTTATACACCAGTACAGAATACCAACACTACACTGCCGTATACACCAGTACAGAATACCAACACTACACTGCCTTATACAACAGTGCAGAATACCAACACTACACTGCCTTATACACCAGTACAGAAGTCTAACAAATCCCTGCCTTATACACCAGCACGATCAGTTTATGTGCAATAGTACTGTCTTGGGTGGGTGTGTGACGATCATTGAAGAACGAATATAATGTTGAAAGGGGGGGGGGTCCTAAATCCCAACCCTTTCCCTAGCCAAGATCTAAAACCTAACCTCATCACTAAGCCAAACCACGATCGTAACCCTAACCGTAACCCTAACCTTAGCCCAAACCTTAACTCTAACACTACCCCTAACCCTAAGCATAACCATGACCCTACTCCTAACCCTAAGAATAACCATGATTCTACTAAGCATATAACCATGACCCTACTCCTAAGCATAACCATGATCCTACTACCCAGAACCATGATCCTACCTCTAACCATAACCATGACCCTACCTCTAACCATGACCATGATCCTACCCCCTAACCTCAATGCTCGTGCTAATCACGACCCTAACCCTAAACCTGACTTCGATCCTAACCTTGATCATGACCGTGATCCACAACCACGACCCTAACCGTATCCCCAGACATATCCACGATCCTAACCCTAGCCCTAACAACAAACCTAATCACAAACTAATTAATTAAGTACTATATTAATATTAACAGGGGTAGATAATGACAAATGATTTGACATAATCTACCCCTGATATTAATAATTAACTAACTAAAATCTTAAACATCGTGACGCTATCAATGAGCATCTCGGAGAGGCTCTTACATTCACAGATCACTCCTGTGTACGGAGCGGGGCAGTTGCAGACGAATCCATTTCCGATCGGTATACACGTTCCTCCGTTCTTGCATGGATTAACGTCGGTACACGTACTGCCCGTGCCTGTAAACAACATGAAGAGAACGGTTAATTGATTTAACGTCAGAATCACTAATCTTATAATAATAATAATATATAAATAAATAATAATAATAAAATAATAATAATAATTTAAGTAAATCCATTAACTCATCTAAGCATCTAGCGCGTGGGTTTCATTTATATTTTGTTTGACATTGATGAGTTCGAAAGGCTAATCAGCAAATAATCATCGCCATGCTTTGGGAATCGCGCGCAGTGGCGGCAGCATACACACATCAACAGTGTGTGTGTGTGTGTGTGTGTGTGTGTGTGTGTGTGCGTCGTGCGTGCGTGCGTGTTATCGTTGCGTGCGTGCGTGTGTGTGTGGGATGTGCGCGCGCCGCGCGCGCGCGTGGTGTTCGTGTGTGTGTGTGTGTGTGTATGTGTGTTGTCGCGTTCGTGTGTGTGTGTTTGTGCCGTCGCGTGCGTGCCGTGCGTTGCGTGTGTGTGTGATCATAGCATGTGACCGCCAGTCCGTCACACCAAAGATATAGAATACAATCTGTACACTGACACCAACTGCACCAATCGCCTGAAAAATAACGGACTTACCGAACTGGCAAAGATTGCCAAAGTATCCCGCCTTGCATCGGCAGTAGAATCTATTGACGCTAGGGCTAACGCAGGTTCCATCGTTCAGGCAGGGGTTGGAGTCACATGCCGTCGATCCAATCACTGCACAGAGCGACGTGTGTCGTGTTAGTGTGTGAATTTGTTCGGGAGCACATTCCGCGAAAGTCCTCTCTCATAGTCACGCGTCGTGTGTTACTGCGTGCATTAGCAAAGTAAACTGCTCCCATTTTACAGCAATTGTCCTAGGGAGTAATGCATCACTGTTGACAGGTAGCGACACGGACCTATAGCGTGGTTCCTACCCTGATTGTACTATTCGAGAACTTCCATTTTAGTGGGGCAGATATGTGAAAGAATTGTGGTTTTGTGGTAAAAAGCACCTAAATTGGCATTTATGATGTTAAGGGACTGCCGGTTGTACTTCTAGTTGTATTGCTGGAGTTAAAGAGCGAACGCACTGACCTTAATGGTCAAAAATTTTAATGAGAGAATTTCAGGGGTAGTGGGCGATTGCCTAAATGAGAGGCTGGACACAAAGTCATGTGCGTGTAATATTTTGTAATTAGCATTAATTATTTTAACAAGCGTGATATCTGTAGTCTACCGTGTAATATCTCCTCCGTGATGCGAGTTCAGGCGATGCGAATAGAATGCGGGAAGTATGATGATCAGCCCACCCCACCACACACAAGCACGCCACGCACGCACACACAACATACACACACACACCACACACACACACACGCACGCACGCACCACACACACACAGCACACACACACATACACACACCACACGCACCACACACACACACACCATACACGTACACAGACGCACGCACACACACGCACACACATACACGCACGCACGCACACGCAGCCACGCACGACCCACGCCACACATATACACACACACATACACACACACACACGCACACACACACACACACACATACACATACACACGCACGCACGCAAACACACGCACACAACATACACGCACGCACGCACACGCACGCACGCACGCGCCCACACATATACACACGCACATGCACGCACACGCACATACACACACGCACGCACGCACGCACACAATATACAACACGCACACGCAACACACACACGAGCGCACGCACGCACGCACGCACACACACGCGCGCGCGGCACGCACACACACAAAACACGCACACGCACGCACCACACGCACGCACGCACACACACACACGCGCACGCACGCCGCGCCACACCACACACCACCGCACACACACATGACACGCACGCCACGCACACACAATCAGCGCACGCACGAACGCACATCATCACAATCACACACACACACGACGGCCACGCCCACACGCACGCACGCACGCACACGGACCACGCACGCACGACGCACGACAGACGCACACACACACCAGCATCTAGCACACGCACGCACACACACATAACACGCAACGCCACGCACGCACACGCACACATCACACACAACACACGCGCGGCGCGCGCACACACACGCCACACGCACGCACACACGCACGCACGCGCACAGCGACACACACACACACACACGCACGCACACACACACACACACACACATCACACAAACACACACATACACACGCACGCACAACACACACACACACACACACACAACACACACCACACACCACACACACACACACACACACGCTACACAACACACACACACAACACACACACACACACACACACACACACCACACACACACACCACACCACACACATTTACTTCCATGTACTGTGAGGCAAGGTGTTTTAGTGATTCTAGAGTTCCGGTAAAAAAAAAACCATAATACTTGCGTCAGCGTGGCATGGATGCCTATCCACCCACCCACCACCTACCTGTCTCGCAGTGCTCTCCCGTGTAGATGCCAGTACAGACGCATTGCGGCGTACCTCCACTGAATTCTCCACACGTGCCGCCGTTGAGGCAGACGATCACATTGCAGCTCTCTTCGCCTGCAAATAAGATTTGCATACTTTTGAACAATACATATACATATATACTTACATAATATAACATCATACATATAATATATTAACAATGCAATGGCCACGTGCATTCAAAGGTCTGCCAAGTTTTTAGTGGCAAGCCCAATGCCTATTGACTTTATATATGATATATACATACGCTTTTACCAACTACATATATACATACATAGCTTATATAATAACTATAATAGCATAACATAACAAATAACATATAACATATACTATAAACATATAACATATAATAAGCATAATAACATAATAGAATATATAACATACATATATATACTATACGATAGCTTTTACCAACTGAATTTCTAATTTTCTAACTATTTTCAATGCATTTCTCCACAATCGCCAATTATTGAATCATCATATTCCTCAAACGTCGCGTTTCTTTTCGCGTTACACGAATATAAATAATAGGACCGATTAAACCTGACCCCGTGACTGAGTCTACTTTGTCCGTGCCCTGAATATATTGCAGTGGTTGCAGGAACGATTGTTTCGCTGCTGCTGTGTGATATCAAACAGAAGTTGTTCCGCTGCACCACTATCACGGCAAACGTACTGGAATGCGTGACCACTGCAGCTGCGCACACATCCGTGCGTCTACCAGTAAGTTGTATATTTAAACTAGAGTTAAGGCTTTCTATATTATGTATTATATGCATGTATATAGAGAGGGAGATAGACAGAGAGATAGAGGTAGACAGGTAGATGGATGGATGGTTGGATGGATGGATGGATGGATGGATGGATGGATGGATGGATGGATGGATGGATGGATTGGATGGATGGATGGATGGATGGATGGATGGATGGATGGATGGATGGATGGATTGGTGGATAGATGGAATGGGAATTAACTGGATGGATGGATGATGATGGATGGATGGATGGATGGATGGATGGATGATGATGGATGGATGGATGGATGATGGATGATGGATGGATGGATGGATGGCATGATGAATGGTGAATGGATGGATGATGGATAGATTAATAGATAGATAGATAGATAGATAGATAGATTAGATAGAATAGATAGATAGATAGATAGATAGATAGATAGGATAGATAGATATAAATAGATAGCTAGGTAGATATATCAGGGATATATATATTATATATATATATATATACATATACATACATACACACACGCACGCACGCGCGCGCACGCACGCACACACATATGTATATATACATATTATATATATAAACATAATAATATATACTATATATATATATATAATATATACTATATATATATATTGAAAGAGAGAGAGGAAACCACGAGAGAGAAAGAGAGAAAGAGAGGAGAAAGACGACTACGCTCACATTCGCAGACATCTCCCGTGTAGCCAGGTGCGCATGCGCACGTATAGCTGCCAGTAATGCTGGGCTGACAAGCTCCGCCATTCCGACATGGGTTTGGGTCGCATACCGTACCAGCTGAAATAAAGTAAGGCAGGCATGCGAATTCCTCTATTTGCCAAGCGTTTTCACTCGCGTTTAGACGTTAATGTAACAGAGGCGAATACTTGCGAATTTGAACCACCTTGCAAGTTTTATTACCGTACGCTCTGTGACGTATAGGCTCCTGTATACACGATCCTTATCAACACTGCACGACACTGATCCGTGGCACAAATATTGAATTCGAAAAGTTGTAATTATTGGTAATTATAAATATTAAACTCGTAGCACAAATTAAGCAGCATATTTCTGTAAATAGTATAGTAATAACGGTAATTTGTTCCACGCACGGGCTCTTTCTTCTCGGTCGTAACCTTTAGTTTTTAATATTTAATTTTACAATTTTTCGTATAAAAAGGGGCCACACGTACATGTTTGGCAACGATTTCCATGGTAACCGATTTTGCATATGCACACGACGCTTCCAGCCCTGGTATAGCAAGTGCCTCCATTTTGGCACGGATTTGGTATGCAGGTATCCCCGCCGGCTAAACGAAAATCAACGTGATTACCGTATTTCAGAAGGCTGAAAACCAAACAACAAGGGTTTTATTATCGGTGAGCACCATGCAGTTGCTTCACCGAGAATTTACATAAACACTCCCGAGTTTTGGATTGTTAGTTTTGGTTTCAAAATGGAACGACGAATCGCTGTGACGAAGACAAACGCACTGTAATACTGACACCTATCACCATGGAAACCAGGGCGACAGAAGCAGGTGGCGCCAGTGAGGCCAGTGCTAAAGCATGTTCCTCCGTTCTGACATGGATTGTAGTTACAGTTGCTTGTGCCGATGTCTGGAAATAGAGGACATTGCCAGTGAATGAACATGTACCAGCGGAAATAAAATCCAAGCTCTTTCACACACGCTCGTACGCACGCACGGACGCAAGCGCCCGTACACGCGCGCGCAAACACACTCTTTCTCTCTCTTCGCCCCTTTCTCTCCTTTCCTCTTCTGGCTATCTCCGCACCTCCTATATGTTTCTCTGCCACTCTCTCAACTCTGCCTCTCGCTCACTCATGTTACTGTTACAAATTAAGTAATGCCATGATGAGGTTCCTGTGTAACAAGGCCACGGAAAATGAATTATAATTGAAGCGTAATCTTATATGTACGTTCAGGCTTGTTTATCGTACATGGTTCGGTACAGCGGTAACAGCACTTATATCATGATACATGGTTTGTCCCCGTGTATGTTCACGTTGTGTACTTACGATGTTCGCACTTCTTCCCTGTGTAGCTATGACGACAAATACAGGCGGTGCCCCCGTAGTGGCTACCTGACACGCATGTCCCTCCGTTCTTACAACTATGATATCCACATCCACTACCTCCATCTCCTGCAAGAACGCGCACGCTCAGTTATTCTTGTATGGCTCCAGTTACAGGATAACTGTTAGTTAGTGAAATAATGTCTATCTAGTCCATCTCGAATAGTTATAGTATCTAGTCTAGTTCAACTAATAGCTCACATTGAATAAACTATATCGTTTGATTATATAGATGCTTACATGTTTTATCATTATCACACGTGTGTGCGTGCGTAGATATCTAGCTACGCTGTGCTTGGCATATTATCAGGAGTGAATAATAATATATCTATCATTATTCACTCCTGATATTATTTTATTAGGTTATTATTAATAATAATATATTATTATTATTATTATTATTATTATTATAAAATAAATAATTGGGTGAAAGTGCATGTGTGTGCGCGCGTGCACACATCACACGCCGTTTAGGCCTACATCGTACCTTTCTTGCAGACGCGCTCACACTGGCTCCTCGTATCAAACTTGTTGGGGTTACCGCCTGCATCCGCTCCATGTGAACATCTGACAGGTCCTAGAGGCCGTACTGTAGTACCACTTCTGCACATTACCACTATACGTTGACAAAATAAACCACATTTAACCTGTGTTAGCGGTCACGTCTTTAAGACAGACACATGTGTTGAATTGTAAGGCATTTTCGTTAGTGACCATTATGAATTCACCTACTGCATCCACTATACCACATATCACATACTATGGCTGTATTAACACATTGTGAGCCTGTAGCATCATGACGTGGGACCCATCTAAGAATTAACTCTTGTACGATAATCGTTGTATGAAAATAATTCTGCTGTGGGGTGCATGTGGGCCTCTCAAATAACGCGGGGCCTGTAGCATCTGCTATATTTAATACGATGTTAATCCGGCTCTGACTACATCATCATTTATTACTCAAATTACAACGTATACAAAATGTTTTTGCGTTTTACGAGAGTTTATAAATATGAACTAAACCTACACAGAGGAAAAATTTCTCGAATAAAGCGTTACACGAGTCAAAACTATCGCGTTTCAACCCGGGTTTAAAACCGATTTTTTACATGTGTAGACGCATAACTCGTGGTTATTTTTTTGTCTCGTCTAGATGTAGCTATATTTTACTACTTATTGTACTATTATGTATTGTACTATTGTACTATGTATGTGTTGTACTATTGTTAGTATGTATGTATGTACTAGTGTAGTATGTGTGTAACTATTGTTAGTGTGAGAACGCGTGAAATCTGCCACTTACCTGCAGGTTCCGAACGACGGGGGTAGTCGGCACCTAAGCGTGTGTGCCTGAGCCACCGTGTGAACCACCACCATGTCCAATCTCATGGACTCTATCATATATATTATAATATATATATATATGGAATAATTATATCAGGAGTGAATAATAGAGATTATTCACTCCTGATATATTATCTATATTATTATATATAGATTGTAACACATAATTAAGTTGACCCTTATAAGGAACCCTACTAGCCCAGTAAACGTTTCGTGTTGCGATATTTGCATGTCGTGAGTGTAACTGAACTATTCGTCTTACGAGAAGACACGCTTCCAGCGTATTGCTATGTTGTCATGCCGACATAAAACGATGGAAACGTGAACGATAATGATGGTTATAACAGTAATGAACATTGCACAAAACAGTACGAAATACCCAACGCAACATGTACGGCATCTTCTCTCTGAGTCTATAGTAACTGCTAGAGGGAGAGAGGAGGCAACTACCCAGAGAAGCAAGCGCATGCATGTTGATCATATTCTAACCTCCATAGTTTTGCGGTAGCAAGGAGTCGTAGGCATTGCCCTGGTGCGTACTGTGGCCACCAGGGGGCGCCACACTCACACCTTTGAGCCGTGTGCGATGTGTAAGCGTTAAAGATAGGAGCATTCTGAAACGGTCCTGCAATGAAATCTCGATGCATTACCCGCAGTGTAGCTTCGGCACGAATCTCGTATTCTACGAACTTTATACACATCTATCACATATCTTATGTCGGTTAATTTTATATGTTTTCAGTTCTTGCTTATTAATAACTACCGCATACCATGATGATTAACATGTGAAGAACCCCCTACCTAATCCAACAGTTATTATAGCTGCCAGGGTCTATGTCCCCAGGGTTACTGCCGGAACGTACCCTGGGTACGGTCCGGTATACCGAACGTAGCCTGGTAACTATCTAATATGCCGGACCGTACCTCGCCTACTCCACTAACGAGTCTAGGAGTCGCCTACGCCTACTCCCTAACCCTAACCCTAACCATATCAGCATAAGTTACCAGGGTACGTTCCCGGCGCAGTACCCTGGGGGACATAGACCCTATCAGCGTTATTATACTATGAACAGATATATACGATCGTTCCTGTGCAATATTAAGAACTGAAATGTCGAATAAACGCGTATATAGATAAACACGTGAATAATGGAAGACTGACTACATGTCTACTCAACTACGATCGGAGGTCCATAATAACCATAGTATACTTGCAGTATAACCATGCAGTATAACCATGCAGTATCTTATTGGTGTCTAGCGCAGCCAGTGGTCACATGGGGCTCTACTATGGTGGCCCACGAGGACCATATCACTGATCACCACGTGGTTAGATTTAGGGTTAGGGGGGATAGGGGTCGGGGTGGGGTTAGGTTTGACGTTGAGGCTAGGGTGATGGGTGAGGCTAAAGTTAGAATTATGGGTAGGGTTAGCGTTAGGATTAGAGTTAGGTGTAGAGTTAGGGTTAGAATTAGGCCTTATGGGTTAGGGTTAGAATTACGGATAGGGTTAGCGTTAGGGTTAGGGACAGGGTTAGGGTTAAAATGTACTGGGTAAGGATAGTGTTGGAATTAGGCGGATATGGGTATGGTTAGAATTGGGGTTGAGATTAAGATTAGGATTACGGTTAGGGCTAAGGTTAGCCGTTAGAATTATCGTTAGAATTAGGGTTAAAATTAGAGGTTGGGACTAGGATGAAAATTTGGAGTAGCAGGAGGGTTAAAATTAGGGCTGTGGTTAAGGTTTTGACAATCACTATGGTTAGAATAAAAGGTAGTGGAAAAGTTAGGTCATCACAACCCTAATCGCATGTAAATATATACTGGCCCCTCCAGGCCACACCATACCCCCAAACCTCATACATCCTCCCCTCTCGCTTCCTCTCTGCACTTACGCGCTATGTGAGTCGTGATCGGGTACTGGCAATACATTCCCACATAGTCACGCGTGCAGCGGCAAGTCGGCACCGGCTCGCCCCACCTCCAGTACGTCACCTGGCATGCGGCGCCGTGCCAGCACGGGTTAGGGTAGCAAGCATCCCCGGCGTATCTCAGGCCCCGTGCCTAGATATCTAGCTATGCTGTGCGGGCATATTATCAGGAGTGAATTTTTATATCTATTATTATTCACTCCTGATATTATTTTATTAAGTTATTTAATAAAATAATTATTATTATTAATATTATTATTATTATTATTATTATAAAATAAATAATTGGGTGAAAGTGCATGTGTGTGCGCGCGTGTATATACACCGATCACACACCGTTTAGGCCTACATTTC